CAGGGATGTGTGTAGAGACAAGCCGATATTACCACGACCGTCGTGCGCCCTAGATTGGCCCTGCGGCAGGGATGTCAGTAGTCCGCTTTGCCACCGAGACCTTAATGATCGTGTCGAATTTTAAATCACGGACAGCTGAAGATGCAGGTTCGAACAGGTGATTAGTCTTTTTTTTCTAGAAAAAATTTCTTTGATTTTGGTATCTGCACTAAATAATATTAAACCTGCGCACAGTAAGTTTTTTTTTTCTAAATGGCTTGTGCATTTAGCTAATGTCAAGTGTTAGTTAAATGTAGGTATACAAATACTATAGCACTCGTGGTCAAAGTAATAAGTCAAGTCAAAGTAAGTGGCAGTCAAGTCAATCCGCCTTTTCCCATGTTTCAGTAAAAGTGTGGGGATTTACTGGAACCTCCCCGTGGACTTCTTGAGGGAACGTCGAAAGACACTTTCCGCTATTTTGTTTCACTTGCCAACACTTGTGCATGTTCCCGAACACTTAGTGGTTGATAATCCACCCGCCACACACTAACATCCGCCACAACCCAATTTTTAACAAGAAAAACAAAACTGCTAAAGTGACGCTTCCCGATCCCGCCAAAAAGTCCTGCACAGTATGTTGACGATCATAAACGCATAGTGTGTGCCTGATAGAGTTTTCTCAGGAGAGAAATAATAGGTACTACAGTCATGCGTGCAACCAAATTAGTTATCGGATTAGTTGAGAGACTTATGCTGATCTCGATTGATAGCCGACTATCAATCGGCCACCGAGCTCTGAATATTTAAACAGGTACAAATATGCAATGGCACGTCCACTCGTCCCCAAGGCACGGTACGGTACGGAAAAAATCGCTAATCGTAATTAAATCATTTGTTCATTCTATATTATAAATGTACAAAATTTCTATTTCAAATATTGCCGTGCAGAGTTGATGGTTAAACGTTGTTAGTTATAATATTACTTTACATATTGGATTATTCACTAAAATATAATAACGTTCTAGATTGTCTTTCGTAATTGTGGATAATGCTAAATTACTTTAGCATACAACATTTTTTGTAGGAGGTTAGTAGGTAGGTTGCAAATGCCCAAGTAATATATATTTCAGGTTATTTTGAATCTTAGTTTGACCGCTTGTAATAATCAATAGTTATTGTTATAATTTTTATTATTTTTAAAGCATGTAACTGCTTGATGTTTAAATCTAAAGAAAATAGTTATTGGTTAGTTAATAATAGTAGCAGATAGATAAGTATATCAATTCATTATATTGTATCAATTCTGTTTTAACTTGTTTTCAATATCACGATTTTAAAATTGTAATCATCTATGGAATCCAAATAACTCTTCATTTATTAAAAGTTCTTTTTATTTCATGGATTTCAGTATGGATTATATTAAGGCCGTCGTTGCGTCATAAGGAACCATTATAAGTATTTATAAAAAACCAAAATTACCAGAGTGATCAGTGGTCACTTAAAGCTCTTACATAATATGTTCTAAATTTTCTTTGCCCCGTAAGAGAGAGCCTGTCGTAGTTAAATAATTATAGGAAGTGCAGTTGTTCATTTTATTATATGTATTAAACAAAATTGACAAATAGTGGTTCGATTACAATATATGTATAAACAAAGCTCAAGGTTCCTTAAAAACTGATACAGGGATTTCCAATAGGAACCAATTAATATGTCTTTATTTGAATCCAAATAAAAACAAATTAATTGGTAATAATTACATTTTTTTATATTTTTTTGGAAACTTAGGTTTGGCATTATGTTAGGGAATACCACAGTGTTTAAATGACCACCTCGGCTTCGGAAAGGTTCAATTCTGCATCACTTTATGACATAATGGCACCGCTATCCATTGCTGACGCGTGTTATGTTACTCTAAATTTCTTAATTATCTTAAATTCTTCTACAGTTCATATTATAAATATCTCTCTCTAATTATAATGAATACACTAGCTAAGTATTTTACATAAGCTCAAAAATCAAAGGGTGTGAAAACGCATGATCGTAGAGGCTATGTCTTGTCCCCGAAATACAAGACTAGGAACTCGTTTAATTTCTCTTTCAATAAATTGACAAGCTGGATATTTCTCCCAGACTTACTGCCACTAATTTGATTTCCGGAGTTTCGCACATTTCAACGTTGGATATTCCATTACTGAGCAAGTGGTTAAATTTTTTTACTATACTTGTGATAAGTGTCCTCCTCCTTGAATAGTGATCGGTTATGTTGATCACAAGTTGCTCGTAACACACGGAGTTAAATGCCGATCTTTCAATAATTTAACTATCAAAAAGATATCACCATTAGACAATCCAATATGGCCGACATCGGCAATCAAAGATACCCTGTTCCTATTGAAAACCCCTATATATAGGTTTTTCTGTCAGGAAGATATAGGAAACAAATTTAAATTAAATCATTAATTTGAAATATGTTCAGTTTTAGTCGACTTTGCAAAATCCTAACTATGAACCTTGTTTTACTAAAAGATTCAGTTCGGGGGAAAATATCCGATTATTTCTGTAAAAATATTTCTCGGCATAAATTTGTAAAATATTACAATAATAATTAGTATGTAAACGTAAATAATAATTAACGTTAAAAATTACGTTAAATATTTGGATACTTTGTTACAAATATTCACAAACGTTTTTCTGTTGTACAAAATCATGTCATTTTTATTATCATTATTATAGAAACAGCCCGTTGGAACAGTTGGAACGGTTTAAACCCAAGCATTTAATTCGGAAATATAGTCAGACACTTTGTATATTAGATTTCATTAATAAAAACTTTTTTAATAGTAGCTTTAAATTAGTTGTCGCTCAATTGATGGATATGGCTAGGGACTTCATTGTAGAAGCGTACACTAATACCTTTATATGATTATGTCATTATATCGATTTTGTCGATCGTTCGGAGTCTGCTTTACATTAGGTAATATCTTTTAACAATTACTTTTTCCTTCATTAAGAAATAAATTATAAGCATTAAACCAGTGAACTACTTAAGAGATGGCGTTGTTCACCTCGACAATATAACTGGTTGCTTTCGTTTAATTTTTAATTAAGCACCATCAAATTATAAAAGTGAAGTGTCATCTGTAAACTATAATACAGTAAATAAAATAAATCGGCCAAGTGCGAGTCGGATTCGCGCAGGAATCCCGGGATTAGGTTCGGGACCCCGTACAACAAACCGCGAAAGGAAAAATCAATTGTTCGTTTTTGTCACAACTTACAAAGTACCTTATTCGGCGTTTTCAGTATTTGTTGTTTAAGTACAGCATATGGTGCATCGTTTACCAAATTTTCACATTCCTTACTAGTTTAGATGGTAAGATAGCAAAAACCTTACCATCTAAACTAGTAAGCAAAAACCATAACTTACAAACTTAAAGTAGGTCTAAAAATTATAACTTTAACGAACCCCCATTTCTTTGAAATGGGGGTTCGTCAAAGTTGAACCCCCTCGGCTGTCGAGTCACAGTCAGACGGTGAAAAAAATATGTACACATCTGTCTACTAACCGCCAGACGGCAAGTGGACGGTTGGGAAGGTTGGGAACTTCACATAAGTGAATTATTAATAAATTGGACTTAAGCTTCTTGGGTTAGAGCTCAAAATAATATTTAAGAACCAACCTAACGGTTTGTTTAAAGATTGACGTAGCATTCCATAGCCAAAACCAAAAATATTTATATATGAAGTTAGTCGAAAGTTCGTCGTCAACACTGCCGCGTCTTTTGCGTTTAATTGTGGAACTTTAAGTTAAAATTGTGATAAATTTCCTAGGAAATTATTGAAGGGTGAGATAATTATTACCAGATATGTAGTCTGTGAAGTGTTAAACTTTAGATTTTGGGTGAAACTCTTGATTTTGGACCAGAGGTAAGTTTGCACATTCTCGATTACGTTACAAAAACACAAAGGTTATTTGTTGCGATGATTGGTTAAATAGTTAAGTTATGCTTCATACAATAATCTCGAGAAATATGATTTTAAAGACACCGAGCGCCGTCATGCTGCTCCCTCCCTGTCTTACGATAGGGGCCATGACAGATAACGTACCAGCGCTATTATGGCGGCCGACAGCTTCTTCATGAGCGTGAAAATAAAAAATATTAATAATTATATTTATGTCCTACTCTACAGAGCTCTAGAGAATGATGTGTCACATACGGGGAAAAAGCAGAAAAACACGTTTTCGTCTCATTTTCATGTCTGCCTCATGAAAAAAAAAATTGAATTTTTAACTAAATGTTTGACATTGGGCAAGTATTTTACATAAAATATCAAAATTTCAGTTCTGTAATTCATTCCATTCATAATCTAGAGACCCATGACATACGGACAGACAGTTGACAGAGTATCAGCAATAGGGTTTCATTTTCACCCTTTGGGTACGGAAGCCCAAAAACAAGAATGCACCAAGAATCGAGTCCTGAGGAACACCCATCTTTACTAACGATCTGGGAGATCTTTTGCCATTGATATCAACTCTTTGGATCCTATCGCTCAAATATGACGCAATGAGATCCAGAGCTACCTGCTCGTACCTTTTAATCCTAAGTGACGCAGTTACCTGATTGATCACTCATTTACATTGCTGGGGAAAAGTGACCATCTGACCGCAATGATCCGAATCTAGCTGCCTGATAAGCTATTTTTAAATTGGTTAAAACACTGTATACAGATATTGTCAATACAAGTGGCTCCACAAACAAATTGATTAGATTGTATGTTTAAAATAAGCATTTTATGCTTGTTCACAAGTTAGAACTTTCTAATAAATTGCTATCAAAGTCACCACAAACAATCAACCGTTTGCCTCCAGAACATTGATTATTAAAACGAGTAATGTAATAAAATAAACAAAGAAACTTCTAAAAGCTAACTTGTTGCTTACACTGAGCTGACGATAATGCAATTTAATCCAGATTTTCATGTTCAATAATTATTTAATTTAAATTATATATCACCTCATGTGACCAAAAACGATATAATACAACTTTTAAAATTTCATAAACAAAACATCTCTATATTTTGATACACAGTCATAATGCAGTCCACTTAAGTAGTAACAAAGTTACGTAATAAACAGCATGTCATAGTTTTAAACGTTTTCTTATTTTTTGCAATTCTTAATGTTTGCACCATCTCAGCCGTAGACGCCCACTGCTGAGCATAGGCCAGCGTTTGCACCAGTTATATTCAACTTAGACAATATACTCGTAATATTGCCAAAAAAAATGAATTGAAACATCCAGAAATTTTGAATCTTCCATTGTAAACGTTAAAAATAATGACGTGAATATAAATTATAGAAAATAATAACAACCTTTAGTAGTACTAATTAAAATTGTCTTATCATGCTTTGCTTTATTTTTAAATATGTAATGTCATTGCTACGAGTAAAGAAGAAATCGAAATGAATTCTTATTTTCTACGCAGCCCGCGGTAAAGTTGCTTGCTTGCGTCTCACACGATAAATGTATAGTAATAACACTGAGCTGAGAACAGCACGTCGATTCCGTAAAAAGCATAAAGTTAATATAACATATGTTTATCAAACATACAACAACAAGCAAAATCACTTTCGAATTTGTTAAATTTTTATTTTCGCCGGCCGTGTTGAGCGAATGAACGGTATGGCGGAAAAGGGTTTCACGTCGTAGTCTTACCGTGTATTTTTCGCGACGCGGCACCGTATCGTGCATCCACGCAACACGGTATGGCCCTCGTGACAACTGTGACAACGTGCCGGACTCTAGTGCCGGAATCGTTCCATGTTAACACTGCCGTGCGCCGCCAGGCTCAAAGTTTGACAAAAGGAGATATCGAACTCGAAAAGTGAGATTTTACTTTACCGAATAGGGGTGCATAAATGACTGATTTTCTTGTGTCCACAGCCTTCAGAGACAGGTGAGCGTCATGAGCATGAACCTGACGGCGAAGCTCGACGACCTGCAGCGGGGTGACCGCCAGCTGGAAACCACGGTGGCGCTCTGCGAGATCCGCACCCAGCTGCAGGAGCTGACCAAGAGCGTCGAGTCATGCCAGAGTGAGGTCTCGGAGGTGGGTAACTTAACGATTATCATCATCGTTATCGGCCTATCAGTTTCCCCACTGTAATGTTCCTTGGGACGGAATAGGAAGATTGGGCCATGAACCAGTGCGAATTGGTGGGTGTTAACGACTGCAGATGCAGCCGGGACCAAAGGCTTAACTCGCCTTTTGAAACATGGAGGGGCAAATAATTATTTTTTGGACACTTGAGCTCCTCAACATATCAATATCCTACCAATATTATTAAGGCAATGTTCCCCGCCGCCTTTATTTACGACCAATTTATTTCTGTTGTTAGCGACGATCTTTGTGACGTGGAAGCATATAGGGCAAAGATTTAGGATTCATAGGTTAACGCATTCCCCAGTCAAAACAAAATTATCGTGGAATGTATGCCAGTTGAATGCAATCTGTATTTGAGTAAGAGAAGGTCATACTCGTTATTAAGAATATTGCATAATTAGCTTTAATTATAAGTGAGAGATAGAGACCTATATAAACACGGAATTTTTTAATGATTTGTCATATCCTATCGGACAGATACTAATAAAGTTACCGATAAAATAAAGGAATAAAATGTATAGGTCTCACTCGGCAAAAATAACGCACTACGGGAAATCTATGTTGTTAGGTCGAAATTGAATGTGGATCATTGCAAATTAACTTAAAATCAATAGTATAATGATCTCTTAAGCTTTTAATTTATATACATTTTAAATCATCGAAATCGGTTCATTCGTTGCGATCTTATAACTAATTTTATAGTAGGCAATATTCACCGGCGACCGAAACGTTTGACGTCACAGAGCTCGATCGTGGTTCACTCCGGTCGAACTTTAGTAGCGTCTCTCCGCACGCTCGCGCCCGAATGCTAGAGCTCTATGACGTCACAGCCACCACTCGGCCGGCCGAAAATTCGTTTAGTAATTTGGACATAACTACGTCAATATTTGTCGTAGAAGAAAAATTTAGCCACTGTAATTTATGGAATCCTTAGCTAGCTAACTCTATAAATCTGCTTTATCAACTAAAATCGTTACGGATCCTCAGTTACCTAATTATTAACGTACTCTCCCCCCCCCCCCAACACCCCCCCACCCCCAGGCGCATTATCACACTAATATTATAAAGGCGAAAGTTTGTGAGTGTGTATGTTTGTTACTTCTTCACGTCTAAACGGCTGGAATGATTTTAATAAAATTTGGTGTGGAGTTAGCTGATACCCTGGATTAACACATAGGCTACATTTTACTGCGGGAAAATATCTTATTTCGATGGGAAAATCGATGCAAATGAATTTTGTTTAAGTAGGTACATATTTTTTGACATTCATGTCAAAGCTATTTTGATAGATTAATATTTCATACATATTTCTAGGACAACGATATTGTTATAATTTTTTTGTGTATCTAATTATGACTCACAATTGTAAACCAAATCGTTCACAGAGCTCACAAAGAGCTTCATCTATGAAAATTGCAAGACAGCAAGAATCTACTTATGATACTGAACAGCGCAGACGTGACCAAGCAACACGTCAGGCAGAAGTCAGAACTGGAGAAACTTCTGCGCAAGCTGATGCTCGGCGTCTGGAAAATCCTATCCGCATAGCTTCTCAGCGTGCATAGAAGACAACTGATGAGGCAGCTTTTCCGCGTCAAGAAAACGCACAGCCTATGGCCACACAGTGATCCAATCAAACACCTTATGAAGCAACTTCTCGACGGCAGAAGCATGCCCAGTTTATGGCTAATCAGCGTGCATTAGAGACACATGAAGAAGCAGCTACTCGGCGTCAAGAAAACGCACAACGTTGTCCATTCAGCGTGCCATTGAAACACCTGATGAAGGAACTTCTCGACGGCGAGAGCATGCCCAGCTTATGTCTAATCAGCGTGCATTAGAGACACCTGAAGTAGCAGCTACTTGGCATCAAGAAAACGCATAGCGTATGTCCACTCAGCGTGCCATTGAAACACCTGACGAAGAAACTTCTCGACGGCTAAATCAATCCCAGCTAATGTCTAATCCGCGTGCTTCCGATATAGTAAATGAGACAAATTCTAGACGACTCGCAGTCGCTCAGCATCAAGCAGAGTGCCGGTAAACATTTACCAGAAATGCTTGGGGGTTATTTGAAAAATGTGGTTTTGAATATGACTTGACATTGGATTACAATAGCCACAGGCTCATGAAAATTTGCCGTATGGAAAATGTGTGTCACCATTATGGGGCATTAAAATGGAATGAGCAAGGAGCGGGAATGTGTAGCTCTGGGGGCAAAGTAGCCATTCCTGTTTTAGAAGAGCCTGTGGAAGCCTTAAATACATTATTTACAGGTGAAATTGATGCGTACAACCCATGCTTTTACATGTCGTCGTTCGGGGCGGACAAAGGACAATGGCGAACTCCCATACAATTTTTTGTTGAAATTTTTTCTTGCGTCTATAAATGAATTGCATGTTAAATTATAGAGTTCACATTCTTGATTTGATTCATCTTATTTCTTATATTATAGGAAGTCCGGATTTATAAATATTCTACGTTGAAGTTTTGGAGGTTATGTCCTACCAAGTAATGCAAAAACGAATTATAAAAGTTTGTTTCAAGAGTATTTTTATATCAAAATAAAAAATACGTGGAATGGAACTATAGAAGTACACCGGTCCTGAAGATTAGTGAGGAAAAAGAATTATTTTTACAATGTATGATCAGTTGGCTTTCTTTTTTTCTTTCTTTGGCGTAGGTACTGACCAACCGCGTCAAAATACTTATTATCAGACAAGAGTTATTGAGTTCAAATACAATGTCTGTGCTGTAAGAAGTACTTAACAATTTGAAAATGCCCACTGCAATAATAAAGTATAAAAAAGGATTTCTAATAATGTACTAATGGGATATTAATTAAATATGCAACACTTTATATATTTTTTATTCCACATCGTTGATCACAATATCGTAGATAGTAGATACAATGAAATAAAATCCACAGTATAGGACAGAATCGTGTCCAAAATCCACAGCAAAATATCAGATTCGGAAGTCTTAGGCAAGCACTAGCATCCACAGTTGCAGAGAAAGATTTCGAAAGTCCAAATACAGTCCAAGTCACATAAAAAAACAAATCTCAGAAAAACACAATACGCCGATTGAAATCTTTGCAATATGCATGCACCTAAGCACAAACAATGATATATAATGATAACAATAACAACAACAATTCGATGACAAGCATGACAGTGACAATTATAGTTTTTTTTTCGTTAGAATTGTCGCCATACTCTTTTAGTATTGTGGAGATTATTTAATATGGTTTCAGTATAATATTGAAAATTAATGTTTCCCGATATTTTTGTTATATAATTAAATACAGTTCAAGCGTAAAGCGATGCAAAACATACGAACAACATATTTAAAGTTAATTTCATCACTAAAATCACTTAAAATGAATGGCTCAAAAGCCATCATGGCCAAGCCACAATAAAAATAAGTAGTCAATTGTGTTTCCCTTTTTTTAAGTTTTTAATTCCAAACTAAGACAACCCTCCTCAATTGTTTAATAAATCTTTTGAGATTATTTTATTAACATTTCTGATAATGACATCTATAGACGCTATAGATTTACTTCAACAAATATTTCGCCATTGTCCTTTTTGCAATGCCTGGATTTTCCCCAACGTTCACAGTGCATGGCCAACTACATCACAAAACGGGTGATGATCACCTAATGAACAGCCACAATTTTTACAGGTGTATTTTATGGGAGACGACGAAGCGAAAACTGACAAACGGTGTCAAATCATTCAAGGTATGGAGCGAGCAACTGTGCCAGGAAGACGAGTTTGCTCGCACGTGGAATGCGTCACGAAAACAATGGAACGTTGCGTGCAGGGCGCACCCGTCCACGGTTGGCCTGGTGTGAAAGCCTTAGATGCCCACGGTAGAATTTATACCGTACACATAACACACTTTGAGTGCTATTGTGTACGGTTGCTGTTGCTATTACTAGAATCCGGGGTCCTACCAGTTTTCAAGCGCTCAAAATCGTCGATGGGCAGGAAAAGGCCACTTTTCAAGAAGCATGTGAGGCGATGAAGCTGCTTGAAGACGACGGCCACTGGGACGCAACGATGGAGTGCGCAATGTTGTGCCGGTCAGCGACTACGTTGAGAGAGCTCTTTGCGATTATGATAAGCACCTGCGGACTCTCCAACCCCCGGCAATTGTGGTGCAAGTATAAAAAGCGCTTTGTCAGAGGACATTGCTCGCCGATACCAAGGGGTCATCATCATCATCAGCCTATTAATGTCCCCACTGCTGGTGCACAGGCCTTACCTATGGATGGAATGGGGAGATTGGGCCATGACCCACCGCGCGATCCCAGTGCGGATTGATGGGTGCTAACGACTGCAGATGCAGCCGGGACCAACGGCTTAACGTGCCTTCCGAAGCACGGAGGAGCTCGAGATAGTAAATTTTTGGTCACCCATCCAATGACCGACCACTGCGAAAGTTGCTTAACTTCGACGATCGCAGCTGAACGCGCTAACCACTTGCGCCATCGAGCTCCTCGACAAGGGATAACACTAGACATAATTTTTAAAGAAGCGCTAAAAGTCTTATTTCTTGGACGCACCAGGGGGCACCGGCAAGACTTTTTTAATGAACTTGCTGCTGGCACAGTTGTGCAAAGACAAAGTGGTTGCGCTGGCTGTTGCATCCTCCAGAATAGCCGCAACCTGGCTGAGTGGTGGCAGAACCGGACACTCAGTATTCAAGCTGCCGCTGAAACTTGCAAGTGAAGAAACGCCCATTTGCAACATCAGTAAAAGTAGTATCGTGGTGCTCTATTGCAATGGTGCAAATTGATCGTATGGGACCACATCCCGTGTGTCGAGAGCAAGAAACACATTTTATTTACGCAGAAAACAATAAGTCCCGCATTGTGGTTTACCGGGATGTGCTGCAGTAAAGTGATTTCTAGGTCTCGCTCTACGACCCGAGACAAAAAACAATTACATAAGACAGCATAATCATCTCTCCCGTTCTTTCAGTTATCAAATTTTGTAAATTGATCTTTCCGATGTTTTAGTTTAAATTATTTTGCTTCTAAAAATGTGAATAGTCATTGTTTTTACTGTTAATACACAATTTATTTTCCCTAATAAGCCGCGGGTAACACCGCGGGGCACAGCTAGTTTATTATATATTACAATAAGGGGGCGAGTATACATTTACAAAGTATATATTTTATTCCTCTGTTTTATCGGTAACTATACTCGGTTTTATAGATACTATCTATCCGATAAGTTATGACATGTAGATCAGTAGTAGTATACTTATCAGGGAAGAACGCTGATGTCTGAAATATAGATTGAATCAATAAGATTGATATGATGAATTTTTAACTTGCAAAAATACTATAATATCAATTTATGAAATAAATTTATGATCATGCCCGTATCAGGACACGGACTTCGGCTGTCACTTTCAGTTCATAGTTAGTCAGGAAAAGAGACAATAATAATAATGTGACATAATTAAACATTTTTCTTTAGCTTTGAACAGTTACATCTATTGATAAACTTCCACTCCACTATCTGCACATAACATTCTCTTTTCAATCACATTCCAGCATTTATTTAAATTCCAGTAGTTGTACATACTTAAATGTCCAAAATAGGCGCAGGGCACACCCTTAGGCCGTTTGTCCACCGCCGCCGTCACCGTCACGTCACCGAGAACGAGATTTTTTCGGGCCGAGTTTAATATGACGTGACGGCGATCGTTTGTCCACCGCGACCGATGGTTTAGTTTGTTCCAACTGTCATGCGTGGTAGTCGCGTTTTCGAAGAAATAAAGTGATGGCTAGGTTAAGCCGGCGACAACTTCTTCTCCTGCTTTTGTGCCTTCGAAGACGCAGGCGATGCAAAGAATTTTGGGTTCATCCGCTAATACGTGAACGATACATCACAGGGGCGTTTTATGTACACCACGCCAAGTTGCGGCAGCATGACGAGAAGTTTTATTAATGAATAAATATCGTATTTAAATTTTATGGCCATTTTTATTACAATGATATATGACATACAACTGAACTGAGCTCGTGGACGGTGCGACGGCGACGGCAGTGTGTGGACAAGTTCATACGTGTTTTGTATTGCCGGCACATCGGCCCGTCAAAATCTCGGGCCACGTTCTAGCGGTCACGCCGATCTACTCGCAATTTCGCCGGTCGGGATGACGGCGCTCGGGTGACGGATGTGCGGTGGACACGCGGTTTACGTAAATGTATGTACCGCTACTTCGGCGCCGTCATCTCGTTCTCGGTGACGTGACGGTGACGGCGTCGGTGGACAAACAGCCTTAGGCCATATTTCATCAAAATATATCATATAACACAGCGGACGCATACAACAAAGACATTCGTAATTAGAATTATTAATGGCAATAGTAGGTATTAGATATTAATGAAGGTGTTATATAGGCACGCTGCATACTGTGCGCGTATTTCAAACGGAAATTCCGACAATTCACAGAGATCTGAAACGTACAGACAGATAAACCACGACTACAGTTTTATTTAATAATGCACTTGTTCATTCGCTGACTTCTTTACTTGCCGCTTAAGTCTCTGTTAAAAGTGTGTGAGATATATTAGACCCCATTAATGACAATTTGGCAACCAAAGAATTAATTTACCTATCGGTTGTCAGCGAGATAAAATTAGCCATTGATTACACGTTTGATTTGCTTTTTCAGTCAATAAAACCAAGCTGAAGTTGAACCAACTATTAATTAGTAAAACTTAATTAATTTTCTGTTTCAAATAAATTTAATGTATAACTCCATGAAGAGAAATAAATTTACATACTTACTAATTAAAACTAAAGCTATTCGTGAAGACTTGAGATTTGTGTGTTTATAAATGTAGGTACATTATTATACATGTATAAAGATATCTTTGAAATGTTTTCATCAAAGAACAGTATATTGAAACAGGTATTTCATAAAGATAAATTTGTTTCTGTCGCGCACAGGTGATATGATGCCAGGCTTAGAAGATGTGCACTTTGAACATAGTGGTGTACCTTTATCGAATAATAAATTCTCCATGCATAAATAAAAGCATTTCAGCGCACAGGGCTTTGAAACTGTCGTTGGCTGGATAAAATCATTTATAGAATCCTGAAAAAAAATAGATTATGTCTAACATTGTACCAATGACGTGGTTGTAGATTGCGTTGATAGGTGACTAAGTGTAATTTTCTGACGATCTTATCCTATGATATATTTTCAACTTTAGCGTTGCATTAAGAGCCCTATCACATTTTTTGCAAAAAATCGTAATTTTTGATCGCCTCGTTTACCCTTATACTATCTTTATATATATAATTCTTCTGTGAGTGTGTATGTCACTGAACTTCCCTTAAACGACTGGACCGATTTTGATGAAATTTTTTGTGTGTGTTCAAGGGGATCTGAGAATGGTTTAGATTCACAATTTTGTCCGCCGGACAATGTATTTTTAATTATTTTTTAATTTATTAGTAGTTGTTGATTTTGGAATGTTTTACATTGGATCCGACAGACGGCGCTACCATCGCAGTGTCAAATCTTTATATATATAATTCTTCTGTGAGTGCGTATGTCACTGAACTTCTCTTAAACGACTGGACCGATTTTGATTTTGAATTTTTTGTGTGTGTTCAAGGGGATCTGAGAATGGTAATTTTCATCAAAATGGTCCAGAATATTTTAGTTTATTAAAAAAAGTTTGAAATTTTCAAATTAAAGACGTGTAGACAGGACAACGTCTGTCGGGTCCGCTAGTATACTTATAAAAGATTTTGATTATTTCCAATAGAAGTAAACAGTAGATTTATTCTTCCTATTGTACGTTGATGTAGAATATTGGCAAATACTATTTTCCTTTTTTTGTACTGATCGTTCTACTGCAGCTAGTTTACGGAAAAAACGATAATATGCACAACTTCAAACGCCTCAAGCTCTCAATAATGTTCAATAAATTAGATCACATTAATTACTACGATATGAGAAATATGTTTTTCTTGCAACATAATGTATTAGAATTTTGATTTTTCATCTCTTTAATTATCTAAAAAAAATCTAACCTCTGTGAGTTTTCCCAAAAAATAATGCATAATAATCTGGTATTTTGATATTTAATTTAATAGAATAACTATCAAAGACTTTCATAAAACTAATTTACCATCATTGAACTACAGAAATATGTATATATTTCTAAAATTAGTTCATTAATAATTATTTTATAAGACTCGAAACATCACCCGTAGAATGCAATATATACTACTGCAAATCTACCTAAGCGCCGATCAGTACGGCAGCGGCGTAATTTTGTAAAAGGGCTCTTATAACACATCACGATAAGGAAGGAAAACCTTTATTAATGTGTGACTAAATCTATAGTTAAAAGATTTACAACAACATTTCTAAAAACACAATAGACTTACTTTATTACTAGCTTAGCATTTTAAAATACAATCAGACTAGAGGGGCAGATCATACGTCAATCGTCACATAAACGTAGGGCACTGAACTTCTTTAATTCCCAGCTACTTCTGCAGTCGTTATAGCACCAAGCAATTCTCATTGGCCCGTGTGGTTGGTCATAGCCTATTCTCCCTGTGCCATCCATAGGGACTGGCCACAGAGCGAGACAGGTCTTTTCTATGCCCCAGTAATGGGGAATTGACTATTGATGAGTTATGTAAATTTTTTGAATTTGAATAATTTCCAAATTAAATTGTAATCAAAATGAATTGCAGTGTCGACTTTTTGATGAAGCGTTCTTCATTCTATAGAGAATTAATATTATATCTGTATTCGTCAGGTGAAGCGCGATATGGTGGCCATCAAGCAGGAACTGGACACGGTGCAGCAGGTGAAGGAGGAGATCGAGGAGCTGCGCGAGTACGTGGACCGCCTGGAGGAGCACTCGCAGCGCCGAAAACTGAGGCTTTTGGAACAGGTAACAGCGCCAAATCACCCTTGAGAATATATAATATACCTTTACTTAGTACACCTACATAGGTCCGAACAAATAACTCCACCCTACCAGCTGTTAAGTGACGGTGGAGACCAGATGCGCAGACACCTAGTGCAACAGTTTTACTGCCATAACAGCCATCTTCACCTTGCCGCCCTGAAAGTTGCTTCTCACGTCTCTTAAAGGACCCTGGGTAATAGGAGAGAGATTTACAAAGTTTCAATTCTCAAACTTAGAAAATGTTAGTATTATATTTCTTCAATTGGCTGGCTTTATATAATTTAATACGAGTAGCGGCCCGTCCCGGCTTCACACGGGTGTATTAAATACTATGGAAGCATAATAAATCAGCATCCGAAAAAAAAAATGAATTAATACAGATTTTGAAAGTAGCCGGACTGAGTTTCTTTTTGGAACCTCGTAGTCACGTCACGATATACAGGCAGACTTTTTGACTCTTTGTCGAATCACAACAAACTGCTAAACTTTTTGACTATTTGACAGATTACAACAGACTGACAGAGGTTTTTACTCTTTGACGGATCACAACTGACTGACAGAGATTTTGATTCTTTGACAGATCAAAACTGAGTGACAGAGATTTTTACTCTTTAACGAATCACAACAAACTGCAAGTTTTTTTTACTATTTGACAGATCACTACGGACAGACAGACTTTTCAACTTATTGAAAGATCACAACAGACTGAGAGACTTTTTTACTTTTGACAGATCACAACAGACTGACAGCCTTTTTGACCATTTGACAGATCACAAAGAAGAAATAATGACTCGTCCCGGTTATGCACGGGAGTATTGTATTAAGTAGACACGAATCAGCATCTGGAAATAACAGGCATATACCTACGTATGTACTATCGGGTAAAAATGTTTCGAAATCGGTCAAGTGGTTGAAAAATAGAATTTTACCCTTGGAGATCCCGTGTCCGTGGAATTAAGAGAACAAAATTTGTACTTATTCTTCTACAATTTCAAACATTTAAGATTTTGTTTAGAAAATCAGTTAGTCTAGTAGAGTATTGATTTATTAATAACAAATCAGAGCAAATCTGCTGAAAACAGGTCGAATATTTGAAATCCACTTGGTCAGGGGCATGGCCACCCTGATTTTTCTGTTTAGTAAAGAGTTTCTTTTAAGCATATAATTATGTTGACATCTTTTTATCCCGGAATTCCCAAGGCAACGGGAACTTTGCGAATAAAACCGCGGGGCGCAGCTAGTAATAACATATTAGAACAAATTTGCTGAACATATTTGATGGATAACTTGCTTTCCTTATTTGTCGGTGTAGAAATCGAATTTCAAAAAAAAATGAAACACGTTGTTTTGAGTTTCAATTCACCTAACCTAAGCCGAGTTTCAAAGCTGTCAAGCTGGCCAAACTCGTTTTCCCATACAAACTTTGAACCCGTATGTCACCCAATTCACGGTGGAATATTCAAAAATCCTTTCTGGCTTGATGCCTACGTCAACATGCTATCTTTGTTTTATGAGGGTAGTTTTGAAAAATGAAAACACAGATATATACATATATATACATTTTTATTTTTAGGTGTGCTAATTTTTAATCAATTCTATGCACTTTTGGATGATCTGCCATACAAACTTCGACACGAAATTTTGTATATTTTTGAGGAGGATAGTTTTAAAAATTTTATGTAACAGGCTTAGTGTACATCTATTAAATAATGTTTATGCAAAATGTTTATGTCAATAAATAGGTCTAAGGGATAAGATTATACAAACAAAATTTGTTTCAAATATCACGCTTAAAATGCTGAATTTCAAAAAATCCCATCTTATTACTTGCCTAGGCAATAATAGGAACCTACTGTCTAAATTTCATCATTCTAGGTCAAGCCGATGTGCGTTGATAAGTCAGTCAGTCAGTCAGTCAGTCTGTCAGTCTATCCTTTTCTCCCTTATTATAATAAAATAGATAATCAATTCAAGTTAAAACAGCATTTATTCAAAGAAATTCAATTAGCCTAAAATTACATGAACTTACTTACGTACTTTACTAACATCCTAAGTTAATTATCCATTGTGTTTATCGGAACTTGATTGAGACAGAAAATTTTCATATTTTTATATAAGTACTAATGGGATAAAACTTGTGCTCGTGTTTACTGCCTAAAAGAACTTACAAAAAGAAGTAAGGAAAAATATATTTGGATGACTCTTATAGAACATTTGAAAATAAATTGTATTATCGACCATAAAACAATAAGTACCGAGACATTTGTGCAAATGTCAAGACACTTTAGAGCGAAAATAGCAGTCCTTCGAATGTGGAATAGGTATTTTCTGTTGATCGACTAATTGCATTGGCTTGGGCGACCGACTGCGAGCAGCCGCCCCCGGGGCCGTCGCGAATTAATTTTATTCTAACGATCGTCAAACGCCAGATTCTATTGAATTTATCCTAGAAAAAAAACGAAATAGATAAAAACTTTACATAATTCTATGTTACCTCATTTGACTTCTTTGTTGTTTATATTAAAAAAATATTTATTGCGAAGAAGAAGATTTATCAACATTCAGCCAGCAGAGCAGATTTTTGGTTAATATTGGAAATGTATGTTTTTTTTATTTCTTTGACAAAAATTCGGAGAACTATCGCTTAGCTTTGGTATATGATTTTCAAATGCCTAATTTGATATTCAAATGCCTAATTTAGTGTGACTATAAAAATAATATTAAGTGCGAAATACTTATTCGTTGCAACTCTCAGGTCAGGCACTCAAACCAGATGAGAAATAGATATCAATAGAGAAGGTTTGTTCTCAAAGGTCTTTTTCAGAGTTATTTTTTAGGCATAGTACCTAAATGTATTTTTGCTGTTGTTATTAAACGTTACTGTTGACGAGTATTCAGAGAAATGGTTATAGCATGCAATTGATTTCATAGGAGGCGCAAACATTCTATCACTACCCCGCATTATATTGATTGCTAGTTGACTTCAGTCGCGAAGATATGGAGTGACAGAAAGATAGTCTAAATGGCGTTGATAAGGTCAAGAAAGTATAAGGCTCTTTGATAGGTATATTCTTATCATATGCCCGGAAATGTCATTGTAATTATGCATTCGCTTTTCAGAAATACTGAACTGTTTTGATAATTTCAAGTGAATTATTCAGAATTATTCCGCAAGTGGGTCAGGTATCGATTTGTTTGATAGTACCTAAAGCTATTATTATTTTTGACGGCCTCTGTAGTGTGAATGATTTATACGCCAGGTTTCAACGTGTCGCCTACTCAGAGGTCCCGGGTCAAATCCTAGTGGAGAAAATTTTTTATATGATGAATACGAGCATTTGCACATGATGTAATGGATGTTTATATGTATTTCTTGATAAATGTACCTTTAGATGTATTCTATCCGTTACTCTAGTATCCCATAACATAAACCTTACTTTGAGGCTAATTGGTGTGAGTGTTAAATATATTTATTTACTAACTGTGCCCAGCGGTGTTACCCGCGGTTTATCAGGGATATTTTGCCGCAGTAAAACGTAGCCTATGTGTTAATCCAGGGTGTCAGATAATTCCATACCAATTTTTATTAAAATCGCTCCAGCCGTTTAGCCGTGAAGAGGTTACAAACATACACACTCACTAAATTTTCGCCTTTTTAATATTAGTGTGATTTATTATTTCTGGTTTCTATTCCAGGGGCTGACCTTCTTCCTGTCTTACGCCATCCTTGCGGCTGTGCTGGGCATGCTACAGTTCGGATATAACACTGGTGTCATCAACGCTCCTGGCAAAGTGAGTGTGTACCCCACCATGCACTTACTGTACTTAGTTACAAATAATAATTTATAGGCACAACAATTTCTAGTACCGACTGGCCACTTGCATTCATAATATTATAAAACAAATTAGCTCCTTAGGCTTTGAAATGCAATTTGACATAAGACCAGTAATTTTTTACTTTGGAATCTCACGATTAACTCATCAATCAATTGTGTATTCAATCCCAGGATATACACGTGGTTTTAGAGTGCGCCAACTTTTCAGTTTCAAACTATGTATCGTTCATCCCCATTGAAATAATACTACTTGTCTAAGCCTCCTGGGGAGAGCTGAAGAACGAGCTCACTAGCGTATGGGAGAGGCCTATGTCCAGCAGTGGACTATTATTGAAGACTATGTAACGTATCCCAAGCACGAACTTTGACAAATACGGAGTATTTGTATCGCCAACGTCACAGATCATATGGAAACTAAGCAGCGCTTTTTCCATAGAAACTTTGACGTTGGCGATACGAATACGAATCTGCCGAAGTTGGTACTTGGCGTACGGAACTCTGTTGTAGTTAACGCTGACGAAATGTTTCCGATGCAGAACATCGCCAACTTCATGAAGGACGTGTACAAGAACCGGTACGGGCTGGACCTGCACGACGACACGGTCAACAAGCTGTATAGTATTGCGGTCAGCATCTTCGCCATCGGGGGTATGCTGGGCGGCTTCTCCGGCGGCATGATCGCCAACAGATTCGGAAGGTCAGTAACATCTGTCTTCTTCTTCCTCCTCATGTGCGTCGCTGGGGGAAGCATTGGTGAGCATATCGCCCGCACAACCCGCAACCGAACTGAAGAGCCCACCCTAGAAACCTCAAAGCTCACTCTAAAATTCGAGTGTTTAAAAATGTCTGCAAATTTCTGCAAAAAAAGGATGTTAGTTTAACTGGACGGCTATCTATAGACAAGATTTGTTTTGTTACCAGGAAGGGGGGTCTTTTGCTCAACAACATTCTTGGCATCAGCGGCGCGAGTCTCATGGGCTTCACCAAGATTTCTCACTGCTACGAGCTGCTCATCTTCGGAAGGTTCATCATAGGAGTCAATTGCGGTAATCACATAAACAGCTAATTGCTCGAAACGATATTTCTGTCTCAATTAAACATAATATCACACGGAGAATCCAAGGTTTAGCTTTTGAACAAAGAGTATGTAAATATCACTCTTCTAGGCTTATTGCCACCAAATTCCACCATTTAAAACTGCAGAAATATTAAAATAACACATTTTTTTCTTTATAACAAAGTTTGATTTGTCTTTTGCTATGATGTTGCAAAAATTCTCTACCTCAGAACTTTAATTCATCACCGCCTGGTCGTCTTAAATTGAGTCTTTACTGACAGCGCGTGCTCCATCTTCATCCTCATTGTCAAATGACACCAAATTAAAATTAAAACAAACATATAACAACAAAACATAACAAATGAAAAATCCAAAGCCTTACAAAGTCTTACTAGTAACCACGTCTAGATAGAGCAATTAAAAAAAATCCACGCAAAGAAAACGGCTCATGTTACACAAGACTCTAGTGTAGATGACAGGTCAAGAAGTGGTCGCCCTCGGTCTGTTAGGACTCCAGCAGTGATAAAAGCTGTGAAGGCGCGAATTCAAAAAAAACCCAAACGTAAGCAGAAACAGTTGGCCCTTCAGATGGGGTTAAGCAGAACCACGGTGAAAAGGGTGTTAAAACAAGTCTTAGGGCTTTGGGCATATCGAAGAAAAACAGAACATCGTTTGAATGCTCGTCTAATGGACCTGAGACTGAAGAGATGCCGCGATTTGTGAAGCGGTACGCGGGGAAAAAAATATCGGGAAATTCTATTTTCGGATGAAAAAAAATTACCGTAGAAGAGCGCTACAATAAACAAAATGATAAGATGTACGCACACAGTAGTGACGAAGCGAGCAACCGTATTCTGCGTGTCCAACGAGGTCATTTTCCATCCTCGCTCATGGTATGGTTGGGAGTTTCTTATTGGGGCTTAACAGAGGTACATTTTTGTGAGAAAGGTGTAAAAACGAATGCAGTTGTGTATCAAAATACAGTCCTGACGAACCTTGTGGAACCTGTTTCTCATACCATGTTCAATAACAGGCACTGGGTATTCCAACAAGATTCGGCGCCAGCTCATATAGCGAAGAGTACACAAGACTGAGAAAATCTGAGAGAAATCGACTTCATCCGGCACGAAGACTGGCCCTCCTCCAGTCCAGATTTGAGTCCGTTACATTACAAGATATGGCAACACTTGGAGGAAAAGGCGTGCTCAAAGCCTCATCCTAATTTGGAGTCACTCAAGACATCCTTGATTAAGGCAGCCGCCGATATTGACATGGACCTCGTTCGTGCTGCGATAGACGACTGGCCGCGCAGATTGAAGGCCTGTATTCAAAATCACGGAGGTCATTTTGAATAAACTTTACTGTCATAAGAATCTATGTTTTGTTAAGTTCATTTTGGTATATAAATGGTTACATAATGAATAAACTTGTTTCAATTATTTTATATTAAACATGTGACTGAATTTATGACCTGACTAGGTATAATTAAATCCAGTAACTAAACTAGTGTTTATTTCATGATCCAGGTCTAAACACCTCATTAGTGCCAATGTACATATCTGAGATTGCGCCGCTGAACCTGCGCGGCGGGCTGGGCACCGTGAACCAGCTGGCGGTCACCGTTGGTCTTCTGCTGTCCCAGGTTCTGGGCATAGAACAGATCCTGGGAACCGACGACGGCTGGCCCATACTGCTCGGTGAGTCATCGACACCAGTAGTATTTCTTATAGGTTTTGGGCAATACGTTCTGTTATTTCCTTTATTACCTAAATTATGACTACACGTTACACTGATGAGTCTAATCAAAACGCGGTTTACCCTCTCCGCTTGCATTAACTTTAGCAATTTCGTTTTTTAATTTGACAATTTATCTTTTGCTTATATGTAGAGCATGACAAGAATATACTACTGTACTTAATACCTTCAAAGTTTCTATGGAAAGAGCTAGTTTATTCTTACGTTCGGTAGGGCGCTGTTTAGTGTCCATAGAAACTTTGACATGGCGATACAAATACTTTCTCGCTAGTTGTCCGTGCTTGGGGTACAGAATCTGTGCCTAAAGTAAATCTGATGTACTTTAGTCAAATTCATCTTTAGGTTTAGGAAATCACGACAGAACCAAGCTCATTATCTATGCAATTAATCCATATATTATTTATAATAGGTATTTTTGGAAAGTTCCTTGCTTCATTAAAGCTGGAAAAAGTCCTGTTAGTTTTTCATTCACTAGTATTACTTGTGTATAATGCTGTTTGCTCGCCCAAAAAGCAGAAAAATTGATTCTTACAATTACGAATAAATGAATAAAACAGTGCTTTATGATTACTACATTGTCCTTCGCTCAAAGAACCTCTTCAGTTATTTTTATAATTATGTCTGTGCAGGATTAGCCATCTGCCCCGCGATACTGCAGCTGATCCTGCTGCCGGCGTGTCCGGAATCGCCCCGGTACCTGCTCATCACGCGTCAGTGGGAAGAGGAGGCACGCCGCGCGCTGAGAAGGTTGCGGGCCAGCAATCAGGTATGAATTTATATAATATGTTTAAGCAAGATTAGCCATCTGTCCCACGATACTGCAGCTGATTCTGCTGCCGGCGTGTCCGGAATCGCCCCGGTATCTGCTCATCACGCGTCAGTGGGAAGAGGTGGCACGCCGCGCGCTGAGAAGGCTGCAAGCCAGCAATCAGGTATGCATTTATATAATATGTTTAAGCAAGATTAGCCATCTGTCCCACGATACTGCAGCTAATCCTGCTGCCGGCGTGTCCGGAATCGCCCCGGTACCTGCTCATGACGCGTCAGTGGGAAGAGGAGGCACGCCGCGCGCTGAGAAGGCTCCGGCCAGCAATCCGGTATGCATTTATATAATATGTTTAAGCAAGATTAGCCGTCTGTCCCACGATACAGCAGCTGATCCTGTTGCCGGCATACACACGAACCGTTTGCAACGTAGTGCCTAATTGATCGATGAACACCTATATTTCCACGGGTAACTTGTATGTAATAACTCCAGCACACCTCTTTTCAGAATATATAAATAAGCAGTGCTTAAGCTGTCGCCGTTTATAATAAAAGGATTTGCGGACTTACTCTTTATTTATTTTTTTATTTTTATTAGTAGGTAGAAATTGAATGTCACTAAGTAAAGAAAATAAGCTCTGCTTCTACCTATTAAACCAGTGTTTCCTAACCTTTCCAATACTGCTACCTCTGTAATCTATTAGGAAAACAGATTTTACCCCGACTTTAAAATTTTATCATCAGTCGAAGAAATTCCAATTTGGCCGCTACATCTTCGTCTCTACTAATGTCATCATAACATGAAAGCTAAAAATGAAAAGCTAAAAGAGATAATAATAGAAAATAATAGAGGGATAGAGGAAGGAATGGGAAGATTGGAAGTGATAAAAGAGATGCAAGAAAGAGTGGGAAAGCGAATGGAAGAAGAGCAAAAGACTGACTGAGCTGGGAACTAAGATAGAGGAAGAAAGAAAGGAAGAAACGTATGCGGAAAAAGTGTGAAGCGTTCCACCCCAAAACAAAATACTACATTCAATCATAGTGGCGTCGACCGACGAAACGCTCACGAGCGACCAGGTATTCGACGCGGTGAGGAAGTCGGTCGACGAAAAAGGGGAGTGGAACGAAGTGCGAAGAGTGAGAAAGGCGAAAGGGCAAAAGGTAATCATAGGGTGTGCAAGGGAAAGTGAGGCAGAGAAATTGAAAGAGAAGATCGAAAGAAACAAAATACTAAAAGTGGAAAGGGCAAAGAACAAAAACCCATTAGTAATAGTGAGGAACGTAAGAGGAGAGAGAAAGAAAGAGGAAGTGATAGAAGGGATAAAAAGAAAAATTGGAAGAATAAACAGGGAGGAAAGGTTTAAGGAAGAGGATATGGAAGTTATATATGAAAAGGCAACTAGAAATCCGCATGTGGCGCACGTAGTGGTCAGAGTGGCTCCCACAATTTGGCGGCAGCTGACAGACGCGGGGCCTCTTCAACTACAGTGGGGAATCTCCGCTGTGGAAGATCAGACCCCGTTAATCTAGTGCTCCCGCTGTCTGGGCTACGGCCACATCAGACGGGTCTGCACGGAGGCGCTGGACAGCTGCAGCCACTGTGGGAGGGACCACTTATACGCCGCATGCCCAAACAAAAATTCCGCTCCTAGTTGCCTAAATTGCAAAAGGGCTGAGTTTAAAAGAGAATGAACACAACACCTTTAGCAATGACTGCCCACAGAGAATACTCTGGGATAAAATTGCAAGAGCGAAGGTGGCTTATTGCTAAGGGTGCTGTGGGCAACAACAGAACGGGGAGAGGAAAAAAGGAGCAGAAAGAAATATATAGGGTAGAAAAAGGAATTTGGATAAAGACAACAAAATATATTGAAAAGAGATGGCATTGGTTCCACTTTCTTGAGGAAAGAAGGGAATCAATATTAGGGATAAGACTGCTGAAGCCCCTTCGTGGAACAAAGCAAGTGCGAGTGGAGGCCAAAGGTAACCACGGGGCAAAACAAATGGAGGCAAAAAATTATTTTTTGAAACTCCACTTGCGGAGGCATACCGGGCTCTAGAGGCTACCACCCAAACTCGGAAGGTAAAAAGTGACCACGGAGGGACTCCAGCAGTAAAAATAGAAAATACTGTAGTAACAATTAGAGATAGAGATATTAATAGAAATAAGTGAAAGACAAATTGAGTAGAATAAAATGCGCGTAACATAAATAAGAAAAGTAAAAATAGAAATAAGTAAATATTGTAAATAAAATAAAGCAAATGTAAATAGGATAAGTAGTATACAAACGACAGTCTAAATAAAGACAAAGAAATGTAGCAAAGAAAATAATGTAATATAAAAAGTGAATGTAAATAGATTAAGGAGAAAACTGTAATCAAACAAGAAAAGGAAATAATAACTTAAGAAAATAATTGTATAAGTTAAAATGAATCTAATAAGAATAGTATCAAATGTAAGAGAAAATTAAATTATAGAATAGAAAACAGCAGTGACTTATAAAAATCTAGATAAATTAGTAAAATTGTAAGAAAATAACAATGTAATAGAAAATAGGAAATGTAGAAACGTTAAGTAAAAAGACTAAAAACGAGAAAAGAAAAACTCGAATATAAAAATACGAAGTAGAGAAAAGAAAAACTCTAGAAAAGAAAGAAAACCAAAAAATCATAAAAAAGTCCTGCCACTGAGTGGGGAAGCCGTAAGTATAAATAAAGAAAAAAAAAAAAAATGTCATCATCAGGAGATAATCTCGCCCCGCTTCCCACACTCAGCACCCCGCGGGCTCACTAGCAAGAAGGACCTCATGCTCTATTTAGTACTATTATTTAGATTTGACCTAATAATAAGGCTCTTTGTTACCCCCGAAGTATGGCTGATTTACCCCCGGAGGGGTAATTACCCCCAGGTTCGGAACCCAGGTATTAAACGAAACGTAGCGACTTATGTTCAATAAAAAGGGTAAACTAAAAAAGGCAGCACATCTGCTTTGAGCTAGCTGTTATTATAAGTATATAATTAAGTGGATTACTCTCACCGCTGCTGAAGGACCCTTCACTCAACGTTTTGAGAGTGTAAACAAGTTGTGACAAGCTTTCTTTGATGCGCCAGCTCTTTCAAATTTATATGTAGTGGTAGTTTTAAAAATACTAAGGGAGAAAATAAAATGAACTAGTAATAACATAAACGTAATATTTGGCAGTCGTGTCGGAGTCAGGACCATTATCCCTCTGTTCGCTGAATTACAAATGACACTTGAGTGGTATGAACAAAACACGGCGTAACTAGTCTAAGCTTATTCCTCGTTTATTAATAAGGAGGTGTGAGGATATAACTACTTATTAGGGGCGACCACCAGTTGAAATAAGATTTTTGTATAGAATGCAGTCTTGTTTGTTATTTTCAAGTGTCTGTCCTCGAGTAAGAAATTGCGAAGTAACATTGTTATTTTAAGCACAAACAGAAAAAAAGTACGGACCAAAAGTTATCCTTAAATAAAAAAAAACTGATTTCAACGTTATTAAAAAGCTTAATAAAGCCATAGGTATATTGGATATGAAATACGTGTCATAAATGAAAACGGAGGAAATGGTTGGGTCAAGTGATTGTACGGATGTTTTCATGAGGTTTTCATTTTGAAAAATAAAATATATTTTAATGGACGAAATGGCGTCCCTATAATGCAACTAAAAATTGTCCTATAATATGTACTGAAAATACGCGGTATGGGTGATACAGGAAAAAATTACAATTCCAATTCATTATTTAGGCAACTTCTTTGCGCCGGACCAGGTGTGATTAGAGTGATCGCTCTAAGCGCAAAATTGTCAAAATTTCAAACGGAAACCATCATTTTCTTTCAGTAAAATTGTCGATAAAAGTTAAATGGACGTCGGCAATACCCCTATATCCTGATTAAGTGTTTTGGCCAATGCTGAGTCCATTATTTCCTCTGTTCTTACGCTCACAGATCATTTAATAAAAACACTTTTCGACGAGTCTACAGCGCTCCTTCTTATCCGTTGCTGGCTCCGTGGTCGCAAGACTAGCTGAGAGTCTTGTGACCGCGAACCTGTACATATTACAGGCTCACGTAAACGTCAGGAATCATGGAACAAGTTTAAGTCGCGCTTCATACCCGTTCAAACAGTGATTTTTTAATATTTTTTCTGTTATGCTGGAAGCCGTGCCCTCTGCTGCCGGCGCCGCGTGGAACTTTTTCTAGTAAATTCAATATCTCATATTCAGTTTAGACTGTTACAAGCACTTGTGAAAGTCGAAAAGCTACGCAATCGGTTTGCAACTCTACGGGGGAGACCTTGTACTAAGAAGAACCGGCAAGAAACTCAACAAGGGCTGTTTTTTCTCCCTGTTATACTGTATGCAGTGATGTTAAGTTGAAAAAGACTTCAACATGAGATAATTCATGAAATCACTTTTCATTACATAATTATTAATATACAATTAATGAAATATAATAAAATTTGAGTAAAGATGTTTTGTGTCTTCACCAGGTGGAGGAGGACATCGAGGAGATGCGAGCGGAGGAGCGCGCGCAGCAGGCGGAGGCGTCCATCTCGATGCGGGAGCTGCTGTGCTCGCCGACGCTGCGGGCGCCGCTGCTCATCGGCGTCGTCATGCAACTGTCGCAGCAGCTCAGCGGCATCAACGCGGTATATAACACACACATTTCATTCTTACGGTACAGGAGTACATTCTGGAGATGCGAACGGAGGAGCGTGCGCAGCAGGTGGAGGTGTCCATTTCGCTGCGGGCACCGCGGCTCATCGGCCTCGTCATGCAGCTGTCGCAGCAGCTCAGCGGCATCAACGCAGGAATTCAGCCTATCAATGATTCATGCCATTCTCACACCTGCGTCTACTGCCACCAAGCTTCGTCTATGATCGCGGTGAACGCAGCTGTGGGAAGTCATTAGCGGCTATCGTGACGATAGACGAAAGCTTGATGAGCGGTTTTTCGACACACATCAAAGGACTTGGGGGATGATATATTTGTGTTTAGAGCTAAAGGAGAGTACGAGCACACCGAAACTTTGGACACTAATTTTAGTGCAATAAATAGGTAGTGGACGCTTCGCCGTGCAGGTGCGGGAGCGACATTACCTAGAACCCAAGCAGAGGGGACTGCCCTATAATTGGCACAAGGAGATTGGGTACATGGCCTACCACACCTGCACAGTGAAGATTGTGAAAAGATCACTTTGAGATGGCTTCAAAATAATTAAGGAAATTTGACATGTACTTTTTGCGCTCTTTTCTGTTTTATCGTTTTGATTTCCTGTAGAGCATGATATTTTTAAACTGCTTAAATATATATAGGGCGTCCCACAGCTACCTCGCACGGAGGGAAAATATATTAAATATTGACTATAGGATATTTTACCGAAAGAAGACATCATTTTATTTTTTATATAATAACTAGAACTGCATTCACAGTTTTTTTTAAAATCGCCTGCTACAATTGGGAATCAAACTTGTGAAATTTCGAAAAAACAAATACGACATATTTTATGACGACCATAGAAAGGGTATATATAAACATTATTTTTGCTAAATAACACAGCATTTTATATGAAAGCAAAGACATTTAATTTAACATTTTATGTAAATTAATAATTAACACAAACTAATACAAAAACGAAACGGTGCAAGAAAAAAAATATTAATTTATCAAATAAAAAAAAAAAACTCATTTATTCAGTCTAGGCTGTTACAAGCTCTTGTGAAAGTCAAACGCTACGCCATCGCCATCAATATTTAATATACATTCTCTCCGTGTGAGGTAGCCGTGGGATGCCCTGTATATCTCAAAAACCAACAGCCGTTAAAAGTGTTAGCATTAGGAAACTACTAACATAAGCGGTCAATGTTTTTTCCCGGACAGAGACATGTGATGGTTCAATTCTAGCCTAGTACCTGCGATGAGTAGACATTTATGTAGTGAAAAAAATACATAATAGAACATGTAACAGATACACATGCATTAATATAGTAACTACAATGAACATAACATCATTTACCAGTTAATAAAAAATATATATGATTGCCAGAAACTTTCTGTGGACCATAACTTTTCCACCAGACACTTCACAAATTGTTTTAGACTATCAATCAGAATATATTACGGCGCCATCTAGGAACACCTTTTAGCACTAATAACTCTAATCTTCATAACAACAGCGAATCATCATAATCACGGTTGTCTAGGTGTTTTACTACTCTACGTTCCTGTTCACGTCCTCCGGTCTTACGGACGAGTCAGCCAAGTTCGCGACCATGGGCATCGGCGCCATCATGGTCGGCATGACGCTCGTCTCCCTGCCGCTCATGGACCGCACCGGCCGCCGCACGCTACACCTCTACGGCCTCGGGGGGATGTTCATCTTCTCAATCTTCATCACCATCTCGTTTCTCATCAAGGTGTGTCTTACATATTGGTGGATGAGTCAAAGTCTCGAATTTGGGAAAGCCAAAGCAAGAGATTTTGACAGCGTATGCCTTAGCATGTGTACCAAAACGTGATATGATAGTCTTATCGAAATTCAACTATCAAACTTCATTGTAGTTTGATAGTTAATGTCATTAAATCTGGGTTTGTCTTCAATTCTGACAAAGATCTATTTGGTGGACTTTGTTGGGAAAGTCTCGGTCTCAAGAAGGCCACAGATTTACCCATCGACTGGACTTCAAATTTGAAAATGATGTCTGCTTATACACTGTGCTGCTATTGGAATCTGGAAAAAGTTTGCGTGCTATGCAAATGTAATGGAAAAACAGAGAACATCTTTAAGATCGTGTGACATGTGTGACGGAGAGGTTCACATATTTTAAACTAAATTGGATTAATATCTTTATAATTATGGAGAGTTGACAGCCAAATAAAACATTGTCACGCACTCTGTTACATTTATGTAATGGGAAAAGTGAAAGACTTATACCACCCAGGGGAAGAAGACAAGTAAGTATGGTTAATTGCCACACCAGCTAATTTAGGAATTGTACTCCGTCACACTCTTCATGGTTGAGATACAACGGAAAGTGAACTTTCTAGAGATGATTAAGCATGCACCATTAAGGATTTGACTATCTCCTTTAAAAGTGTTTCTTCACACTAATTCTGAAACGTAAAAAAGTATTATAGAAATTGCTGTAAGGTAATGTTTTACGACTAATTTCATGTTGTTTTTTTTTGGGGATAATAAAGGAAAATTGGCTTCCGCCCCATTTTTTTAAATATTTTCATTAACTAGTTTTATCTTAGTAATTTATTAACGGCCGCACTCAGAGAAGCGAATTAAATGTAATGTTTATCAAAATGACTTATTATGACAAAAAAGTGATGTCACTGAGTGCAGCCGTAAGTGTTTTAAATTAACTGTAAAAAAATACTGGCTTTCATTTAAAACACTTATATTTAATTATATAAGTAGTTAGTACTCTACCCTCTTCCTCAGTATGGTGATAGGCTTCAAACACCCAAAGTAAAACTTATATTCTGTAATCATGTGGTAATAAATAGACGTCGCCGTTTTTAGCCCGTATTCGAGTGCACGAAAGACATTACTCGAATTCGGACACCCGAAGCAATATTTACACTGAAATAAGAGCTGGAAGACGGTGTCGGGTAACCAAAACGAAAACTACCCGAATCTAAGTAGTTTATCCGAATTTCATTGGCAATCTTATTCGGGCTAACGACCACGGGGCCCGATTGAGCCATTATGCCATAATCCATAGTGCTCGATTTTGATAGTACGGTTTCCTAAAGAGATCCATTTAAATGACGGGGGAAAAAACTAATTGTTCTGTCGTCTTTGCTCCACAAAATACTGTTGTTCGCGAATTAATCATTTAAGTTACTCAGTCACTAACAATAGTGGCATTAAGACCAAAAGATAAATGTCATGAGAGGGAGGAGTACCAACTACATAATTATATTATCTACTACCCAACTCTGCATAGACGTAGCGCATCGCTTCCCCACCACGTTACCAACTCACCATAATTGGTTTCTCATTCGACGAATCCGACAACTTTGATAGTATTTAGTAGCAAGCATGCACCGCGTTTTTTATTATCTTTAAAAACTTTATTTCTCTTTATTTCTTTTATCACGACCATCGTTTATTTGCTTCCGCTTCACGCTAGTATACCGCCCCTCCCCCCAAATTCGACTTTCCTGTATCCGATACCGGAGTCTCGGTAGGAAAGAGTTTGTATATAAATTATAATCTCAAATATAAATGATAGAGGCATCACTAGCACCAGACACTCACGGGTCGCAGAACGGGGAAGCCGGGCACGCATCAGGGCTGGCGCTCGCACAACACTGCTCAGAAGCAGACCGCACCTCACTATTTATACGCATAAGCGTTCACTACTTCACAGCGAGTCTGGGCGTTGACGGTACTCGTTCATATCGCACGAACAGATACCGTGTGGCGTGCATTTATGTTTGCGATTATAATGACCGGTCGGTGAACAGGAAAGAGCTGGCATGCTATCCTCTGATAGGAGTTCTTCGGGTATGTGCAGGAGATGATCGACTGGATGAGCTACTTGTCGGTGGTGTCAACGCTGAGCTTCGTGGTGTTCTTCGCGCTGGGCCCCGGCTCCATCCCCTGGCTCATCACGGCGGAGCTGTTCTCGCAGGGCCCACGCCCCAGCGCCATGGCCATCGCCGTCTTGGTTAACTGGATGGCCAACTTCGTGGTCGGAATAGGATTCCCTAGCATGAAGGTACATTACGTTTTATCGTCATAATAACTCTCAACTCAGATCGACCCATTTTTTTATATTGCCTAACTGGCTACTACATTGAGTCTGGGTAACTTAATTGATTCTAAGTACAGTGACACAACTTTTTAATTGTGTAATTTACAACACCTGGCTAGTAAAGCAAGATCTAGCTTTGCTTCAAAGTTAATGAAATAAATGCCCTTGTTTGTTTCAGGCACTATTGGAGAACTATACATTCCTGCCTTTTAGTGGATTTCTTGCTGTATTTTGGATATTTACTTATAAAAAAGTTCCTGAAACAAAAAACAAGACCTTCGAGGAGATATTGGCTTTGTTCCGGAATTCCAACGGAAGGTGAGATTTTTCTTGTTATTTTCCTTTTTTATATATTAGTATTTATATACAACAGCTTTAACATTGCGGACGTAAAAAGATGCAGAACAATGTCACAATGCATAAATAATTATAAATTATCTATTCATTTAGACAAACTGAACTTGCCAAAGCACTCCCACAATAAAATAATGTCTAGTAGAATTATTGAAATATTTTGCTGGTATGAGAAAAAAAATCGGATACAGATTGCAACTATCTTAAATAAGAGAGAGAGGCGATATTAATGGAATGTCAATCAAATCCTCATAATTTTTCTACTACTTTCTACTGATAAAAAGGCATGTCTTAATAATATTTTCTGTTATCTCAAATAGATAAATCATGAGCCAAAAGAATATATGGTTCATGGAGGACAAATATATTCACTCCATTATGATAAACAGCTATTAAATAATTCTTTTTTTTTCTGATTAGGTAACCTTATATGGATAACTTAGATTTCACGAAAACATTAGTTAACATCGGTCTTTAAATAAAGAAATGCCAATTAAACATTAGTATATTTAATATTACAGTTGTATAGTCTATGAATCTTATCCTTTTATCCTTACGTTTACATATAATTATTTAAGCTTTACGTTTGTAATGTCATCGCTTAATATATTCCAATCAGAATACACGCATTATTATTATTAACAAGTCGTAATGTATTATAAATATGCAATATTTATTTATAAGGATATATATATATTCTTTCGATGATGCCCATTGTGATCATTGTTATGGTGTGAGGAGCTACAGGATTTCCGCATTTTTCAAAATTGACTAATATATTATTATGACAATATCGATTACTCGAAATCCTAAAGATTATAATGTAAACAACAGAACATTTTATATTAACGATGATTACGATTTGAGAGTTTAAGCTTGTTTTAATAAGTTTACACGGAAGTTACACACAACCAGCAGCCCAACAAGCGGATTGAATGAAGTGTCGTGTTAAGGTCAAACTCGGAAGGCCAAGAGGACGGGGCCGGCGGGTGCCGAGCGGCCTTCAGGAATTCCAAGGAACGCGACCAATTGTTTGTGCTCATGTCGAAACTCGAGTTCGAAGGCAGTTGATGGTGATGGTGTGTGCAGGGACAGCTTCCGCGACAGCCGCCTGTACGGCAGCATGATGAACTGCGTCAACGCGCTCGAGCAGCAACTGCCGCCGCCGCCGCCGCCGGCGCCCGCTGACGAGAAACATGACTCGCGTAAGTTAAACATTTTTTGGAACAAAGTTCCTTTTTGATGGTATGGACGACGCTACAGCCACCGGCAAAAAAGTCTAAAACTTTCCTGGCACGATTTTTCGTCACGATCGTCAGCTGTTTCGTAAAATGTTGTATGGAGTTGTGTACTTATGTTTATATTAAACTTCGCCCCAACCAAGTGTTGCACGATACTCACGTTTGCTTTTTATGTTAAAAGGGTAACAAACAAGCATATTAATTAGCCCGCCTGATGGTATGCTGCCACCATCCATCATCATCCACCACCATCCGTTATTCCCATCTGCATCTGCCATAAAGATTCACAGTTTTAATCACATTATAATTAACAATAATCGACTAGTTTTTATATATAAAAACATATAAGTAAGCGATCGGTTTGCATAACACGTAACACTAACGAAAACCTATGACGATTGGAAAAAGAAAAACCTTTTATTAAGTGATTTTTATTTACCTACTAAGGCCACAGTTTAAATCTCAATAAAAAAAGTAGTTTTTTTTACACCGGGTGGTAGACGCCACCTATTAGTGCCAACTACCACCCCGGTGGTGGGCTCGAAGGGGGTAAATGGGAATAAAGGGCCACCATAACCTATAGACAATTGCGGTACCAAAGTTATCATTCGCGCCGTTGCCTACCTGTGGAGCCTTGGAAACTTACTCAGAGACAGAAACACAACACAACCAAATCAGTATCACCCTGGCTTCTGGTGCAAGTACCTTTTATAACTTGTGTTTCAGAAGCCAGTTCCTTCTAATATGACAATACTTGTTTACGTATTATTTGAATTTTGATAAACGAAAAATGATATATTGTATTAAACTTTCATGGTCACTAACATTATAGTAAAATAATTTATTTACGGGATTGTTACCATTTACCTTGTTATTAGCGAGTTTCCGATAATTTTACTGGTGGTAGGCAATAGCCGAGGCTAGTGACCACCCATCGGACTAAGTCGCGTCGCCAAGCTGCTTAGCTGTGTTCCGGTGCGTAGTCCGGTGACGCCGTTTGGGAAGATCGGGTCGGAATGGTCGCTCCAGTACTGCAGTGACGATTTTTAGACGTACGCATCATTGTTGCATCGGGTAACTAGTCTCGGAGGGTAGCGGGATCCGAGGCACGGTGCACCGCTGGCCGACCGCAGTTAGTAGAGGGCCCAAGTAATGGGTTAGCCATTCATGAAAGACTGCCCCGCCAACTCGCGAAAATCCCGGGATGCGCCATCGTGCCGGTTGGCGACCGGACGAAAGGGCCCGATGGACACTCCCGGGGGGGCTCGGGGGTCCCCGCAGTCTCCGAACTAGTTCCCCATAAGATGCACAGTGTATGTGAGTGTCTACTGGTAGCGGTACTGAAGCCAAATCGTACATTCTACTTCCGTTTCCCCACCGAACAAATGCTCACGAAATGAAAAAAGGAAATAGAAAAAAGGTCCAACAGCGGCAGCACGCCCTTTCGCTCAAAGTGCACCTCACCAACATTAGAGGACTGCACTCAAATCTCGTGCCAGTCCACCATCATCTAGAGACTCAAAAACCTGCACTCTTTTTCCTTTCGGAGACGCAGATAGGATGTCCGTCAGACCAGGCGTACCTTATGTACCCTGGGTACAATATTGAGCACAACTTTAAGCCCCATAGTGGAGTGTGCTTATACGCCCGGGACGATATCTGCTATCGGCGTTTTCGTAATCTTGAAGACCCCCGATTCTCGGTTCTGTGGATACTGTTGGATACAGAAGGAGAAGATTCTGTATGCCTGTGTCTACCGGTCGCATACCGGAGACTTGGAGACAACAAGGCTCACTGAATACCTCGGTGAGGCGGCGGATTCAGCTCAACAAAAGTACCCTACAGCCCAATTAGTGTTTCTGGGGGATTTTAATGCACACCATCAGGAGTGGCTATTCCCATACCGGGTCACGGACCATGCCGGAAGAGAGACGCGAAAGCTCGCTTTAGCTTTAAATCTCACCCAGCTAGTCCGAGGAGCTACACGGGTACCTGACACTGACTCTCAAACACCTAATTGCTTGGACCTTTTGCTGACAACAGATCCAGACCGATACTCAGTGTCAGTTTCTTCGCCTTTAGGTAAGTCTGACCACTGTCTGGTGAAATCTGTGTCTGTCTACTCTCCGACCGATTCCAGCCCTAGGGGCACCCGGAGAATGTGGCGATACAAGTCAGCTGATTGGGATGGAATGCGGTCGTTTTTTGCATCCTATCCTTGGCAACCTGTATGCTTCACCTCTGGCGACCCCTCAATTTGCGCGGATGCCGTGACTGACGTACTCACACTGGGTATGGAGTACTTTATCCCGTACTTGGATTTACCTCTGTCCGGCAAAGCTCGCCCCTGGTTTGGACCTCAGTGTGCTCGTGCGGAAGTGCAAAAACATGAGGCTTATCTGACCTGGGCCGATGCTCGACACCGCAAAGCAAATAATATACGCCAAAATAAACAAGCCTATAACAGGGCTGCCAAGTCTTGCAAGAAGGTGTTACAGAAGGCTCGCTTTGACCATATCAGCCGGATTGGGAACAAACTTGCTTCGTATCCGACAGGTAATAAAGAGTTTTGGTCCCTGGCAAAATCGGTCGAGACGAACTTCCGAGTCCCTCACTGCCTCCACTGCAAAAGCCTGATGGGACTCTGGCTCACACTGCTGAAGAGAAAGCAAATCTTTTTGTCTCTCAATTCGCGGAAGCCTCGAGTCTTGATGCTGGTAGCGCAATACCTCCGACATCATTTGGCTGCTCGACAGCGATGTCGAACATTCGCATTCGCCAAGCGGAGGTGCGTAAAGTCCTACGCAATCTCGACGAGAACAAAGCCAATGGCCCTGATGGTATTCCTGCAATAGTTCTGAAGACCTGTGCACCTGAATTGTCTCCTGTTCTGACACGCCTCTTTCGGCTCTCCTTGGAAACTGGACAAGTGCCTAAATCCTGGAAGCTTGCTAACGTGCAACCTGTCAAACTACAGACCAATATCAGTCACTTCATTACTCTGTAAGAGCATAAAATGTGTTCTGGACCACAAGATCCTAGCGTACCTAGAAGCGAATAACCTCCTCAGTGATCGACAATACGGATTTCGCCGAAATCGGTCCACTGGGGATCTTATAGTGTACGCTACTCACATTTGGAGTGAAGCCATTGAGAAGCACGGAGAAGCGCTGGCCGTGTCTCTCGATATCTCGAAGGCTTTCGACATGGTTTGGCATGATGGCCTTATAAGCAAGCTTCCTTCGTATGGCTTGCCCACTGCACTATGCGCCTGGATATCGGATTTCCTGCGTGATCGGTCTATAAGAGTAGTTATAGATGGTTGCCAATCACATCGAAAGACTGTTAATGCCGGAGTTCCGCAGGGGTCGGTACTCTCTGCAACTCTTTTTGCTCCATATCAACGATCTGCTTAAACCCGGTACCTTTGGGTATGCAGACGATAGCACAGTCGTAGAGAGCTATATATCGAATGTGCGTGCCAGTGCGGCCGAAGTTCAATCACTCCGAGAAGCCATGGTCAAACTTGTCCCTTCAGGCAGTCTCCGATTGGGGAAATGCCAATCTGGTCAAGTTTAATGCTTCTAAGACTCAGGCGTGTCTGTTCTCCGCTAAAAAGAGGGCGTTTCTACTGGCCCCTTCTTTCCGAGGTGTAACCGTACAGGTAACCGAACAGCTCGAGCTTCTAGGTATAACTCTCACCTCAACTCTCTACTTCGGTATCTACATTGAGTCCAGAGCTCAACTGGCTGCAAAAAAGCTTGGCGTCCTCGCAAAGGTGCGGAAGTACTTTATACCAGAACAGATGCTCACCTTGTACCAAGCGCAAGTGCGCTCGTGCATGGAGTACTGTTCGCACCTTTGGGATGCTTCTGCAAAATATCAGCTGGAGTCTCTGGAGTGCATTGAAAGGCGTGCAAAGAAGCTCATCGGTGACGACAAATTATTCGAGAGTAGACTCCAAAGTCTTGAACACAGGCGAAAAGTTGCCTCTTTATCGGTTTTTTACTGGTTACATTTCGGAGAGTGTGCCTCGGAGTTACACAACTTAATTCCACCTTCACCTTTTTACCACAAAACCACCAGAGAGACGGCAAAACGCCACAGATATACCGCACAGGTCCCGCAAACTCGTACTAAACGGTTTGCTTCCACCTATATCGTCAGAACAGCTAGGTTGTGGAACTCTTTGCCGGAATCTCTGTTTCCAGTCACCTACAATCTGGGGCTCTTCAAGTCGCGAGTGAATCGATTTCTTCTAGGCAAGCGCGTACCACCTTAGGCTGCTATGTCGCTCTTCATCAGTCGCGTGGCTGTCAAGCGTAAGCCTATTTAATGTAAAATAATAAAAAAACTGCTCTGTTGCAAGCGCCGTCCGTGATCATGGCGCTTGTAACAGTGCCGAAGGTACATCACTGTACATGGTAACAATCCCGTGAATAACTTTTATTCCTATAAAGAAAAATGATTCCCGTTAATTACCGTTACCGTTTTTAGTCTGCGGAATGGATTCATCTTACGCATGGTCTGGCATCACGGGATGGCCACAATTCTCTTCTAGGGCTACGCACTATGGAAAATGGTAGACCAACGGCATATCAAAAATCGTTTTTAATAATGTCGTTACTGTCGCACTTTAATATTTTTTTAATGGTATAAGTGTGGAACTAATATGTAATGTAATAAATTTGGTTGAAATCAATTTGGAATATTTTTTTTAATACGACAAAGTGTCAATTCGAAAAATGTCTATTTCAGGTCTGTTCGCTAAATAATGTTTAAATTGATTTCTTTCAAAAAATTGTGGAAATAGATATAAAGTGTTATACATTTCTAGAAAGCCCATTGTATCTAGATTTTAAAGCAATTATAATATTGTAGGTTTTATAATAATTTTTTAATGAAAAATCTTATTATTACTGAGGCGAAAAATAAAGTTTTCCAATTTCATCAAGATTGTTGTT